TAGCAGGGTGGGACAGAGCTCTGCCTGTGGGTCCGAGACACTGCTGTTTGTTTTCTCTCCTYGCTGTTGCCCTCTTTGCTCAACGGGGCCGTGAGCACCCCCACAGCTCCTGGCTGGGGTGGGGACTCCCACCCACTGACCTTTGTGCGGTGCCGGCAGCACCCGGAGCCTTCCCGAGCCCTGGGGAGGAGAGCCAAGCGTTTGTCTGGCTGATTAACCTTTGGAGAAGCACCCGTGCAGGGCTGGCTGGTGCCTGGAGGGAGCAGCCGGCCAGGGTGGGCTCTGCCGTGGGCTGTGCCAGGGGCTGCACCTGGTGCCGTGGTTTAGGTTACAGAGAAGCAGAACGTGAGACAGGGACGCTTCGGGCCGATGGAGTCCAGCGATCAAACGGGCTCACCCTGGAGTTGGAGTGGAGGCCACGCCGGTACCACAGCTCACGCCGCCGGTGCTCCCGTGTCCCCGGTGTCCCTGCTGCCATCCAGGCTGCCCGGTGCCATCCGTGCCGTCCCGTGGCCACAGTGCTGTCTGCCTGCCAGGGCCGCAGCACCGTCCAAGCCCTGCTCCCGCCGGGAGGCTGAGGGAACCTGGACATGCTCATTAGCCTGTGAATTCCTTCCCAGGCCGTTCCCACCATGCCGCGTTTTCCGCCTCATCCCAAGTGCCAGAGATGTGCCGTGGGTGACCCAAGGGCAGGGGCCAGCCGTGCCCTCTGAAGGGCAGGGGCCTGCCGTGCCCTCTGCCTTCTCTCTCCGTCCATCACCTCCCAGTCGTGCTGGTGATGCAAACCAGCCCCTGGCTTGGTGGGGCTGGGGGAGGGAATGGGGGCTTTGGAAGGGGATCTGGCCACATGCCGGCAGCCCCTGCCTGAGCTCCTCAGCCCAGTGGCCTGAAGGAGGGGTGGCACTTGCATGGGGTGCCAGGGGACCTGTGTGACGCCGTGCCCGTGGGAAGGAACCTGCCTGAGCCTGAGATGCTGCCTCCCCGAGCCCTGGCATTGGGCTGAGATACCCCAAAATCTCTCCCCCTCCGAAGACCTTTTCCACCTTCAAGCCACCTCTTCCCACTCCACAGGTCCAGCTGAGGGGTGCTGGCAGGAGCAACCTCCCTGGTTTCCCTGCAGGGTTTTTCTGTTCCATAGGGAAGAAGTTTGTCAGTGCATGGGGCAGAGCTGGGAGCAAGATAAGGGCAGATATGGCTGCAGCACCAGATTCGTGGTGGTTTGTGTTTTTGTGGCTGTTTATCACCCACTGACCTTGCTCTGTGTGAGGAGGGAGTTGGGACAGGCAGGAGGACGCGGCGTTACCCAGTCCCGGGGTGTTCAGACGGACAGGACGGGATGTCACTGCTGCTTTGTGAGCCTTGGGAGATGCCTGTGACTAATCACTTGAAACACAAATCAGAGCTTCGAGAAGTGCCTCTCCTGTGGGAGAAAATCAGGGAAAAACAGCATTGCAAAGCAAGGCCCTTCCCCCACTAGGGAAGGGTCTCCTGTTGGTCTTCCACATTAAAATGCTTTGTATCCTCTCATGGATGAATCTGGAGCCCTGGCTTTGGTATTCCAGCAGCTGAGGAAAGGGAGTTCTTCCCCATCCCACTGTTTTCCTTCAAGTGCTGAGCAAAAGAAAGAGGAGAAACTCTGGAGCCACTCAGGGATGTTTTCTCCATGAAGCTTCTCATCAGTCCAAGGCAAAGAGAAGTGGCCAGAAAGCAAAATGCAGGTCATGGTGCAGCGATTTGGAGTCTGGAGAACCGAGGTTTCATTTTTGGCTGTACAGAGTGGCTGG